TTTTTTTTTTTTTTTTTTTTTTTTTTTTTTTTTTTTTTTTTTTTTTTTTTTTTTGATCTAATAAGACTACTTTTTCATAAGCATGTTTGGCTTTAGGTCAGGAGGAGAACTCATCTTAACTTCCTCTTTTCCACACGGGATGATCATTTCAATTTCTTATCCCAAAAAATAATGAAAAGACAACCTTCATGACATTATACTATAATTTTTTAAATCATTCCCATCACATGGTACAAAATAGAAGCAAAACTTATCGTCTACCTGTAATCTAAAGTCCAAGTATGCATGCGCAGTTAATGGTTCAAGTAAATATCTATAATATGTGTATGCTTCTTTTTACACTGTAATAGTATCTGATCAAATGTGAGACAAATGAAGAAATACAAAACAGGCAGATCAATAGCAAGAACCCAAAATAAAAAACTAAGATGACAACAAATTATAGAAATGTAAAAGATAAACATAATTACAAAACGTGAGCCAATGTAGCCCTCAAAAAGCCAAAACTAAGTAGTACAGTTTCATAATGAAACCAATCTCTCATTCTTCACCAATTTTAAAACTAGGCACTTGTGACTGGACATACAATAGTGCATATTCCGTGGGTAGAAACTTGAATAATCTAGGAAAACTCTGAATGAGGCAGTTCATACGTACAATATAAATTTGGAACAAAATAATGGTAATTTTGTAAAAGAAAGAATTGTGCTGCGACATAGCCAGGACGCACATGTACAAAAGAAAATGAAGCCCATTTCTGTAATGTTTTTGTTCTGAGTTGCTCCATTGGAAAGGTTTGCTTGCCAATTAGGCTCTAATTGATTTTAATTTCTCTTTCTGAAAGCAAGCTTTTTTCCCATAAAAATAAAATAAAATAGAAAGAAACGGAATAGGCAGGCACAAAAACTAAATTTATTCATCTGCTAATCTGAGAAATTGTAAGAAGAGAAAATGAAGAAATTGCAAGCAACTAATATAGAATATCGTTCAAAAAACTCAATAGGAAAGTGAACTACATTTAGTCATTCCGCACCTGCAATCTTAGATAAGCAAAGACTGGAGTCTCCAGAAGGCGAATCAGTTTATCCAGCTGAACTAAAAATTTCACATTAATATCTTCCTCCACCAAGGACTGAATCACCACACTAGCATGCTGGTATGACTGCCATGCAGAATGAAATAAAAATATTGAAACGTTAAAAATTGGTATTACTCTCACTTAGATATTGAGAAATTTTGCTATAGAACTCAAGTGTTAACTCATTCAAACTTTACCTGTGCTAATAAGCAAAGACTAATAATAGCCATCGGGGAATGACACCAAGATGCATATAAAGAAACAAAAAGGTCCTTCCCAGCTGCATTTACCAATGATTTCTTTAAAAGATCTCGAAGATCAGATAACTCAGAGGAAGTCAGCAAAATCAAATTGAGTGCCTGAACAGAGGAACGAAAAGAGTAAACTCGCTGTAATGGAACGATAGGCAACTAAACAAAAATACAATGAATTAGAGAAAAAAAAAATATATATTTAGACAAAGGGGGAGGGTCCAAACACAACTGGAACTCAATCGTAAGGGTTCCAAAGAGGAAAAAGAGTGCAACTAATTCAGCACCTTTGTTTCTGACATTAGAGACGGTGTTTTGAGATAGAGTGCTCATAATAAAAATCATATTTGAAACCATCCTGCAGTTTTAGATATAATTCTTGTTCCACCTTTTAGCATTTGAAAGAACAATAAGCAATATGGTGAATTCCTAAATAATCACACAGCTAAAACTTTATGTTCCTATACAAAGAAGAGTGCTGGACAGGGTCTGTGCAATCAAATATGGATGGGTAAATTCTTCCTGTAGACTACTTCTCTTAGCAGCATCAATACTTTGGACAAGGTTCAGAGGAGGTTTCCCAGCTTCTTAACCTGTTTCAGAAATGAGGAAACCCCATCCCATATGTTACTTCAATGTGACTTTGCAGCTAGTGTTTGGAACATTTTTAGGAACATATTCAGCTGACAGGGGTGGAAACCTAAGTTGCTGGATAGGTAGCCGGTTGAAGTTTTCTCAGGATGATTTTTTATAGATAAAGCAAGAGTGCTCGGGAAGAATTCAGTCAGAGCTATCCCTGGCTCCTTTGGAAAGAAAGGAACTCTAAAATTTTCCCAGATAATAAGTCTTCTTTTTCTTTCTTTTGTGATTTTGCACAGCTTGGAGTGCTCAGCGTAGGCATTTTGGAATTACTCCTCCATAGACTCCATCATTTTAGACTAGAAGGTCTTTTTGTAATCCCTCCTTTGGAAAAAGGAATGCCTTATCCCTTTGTCCTCTAGGTTGTTTTGCTTGGTTTGTCTTTGACCTTTTGAATAGATCTCTTCGTTTCTCTCTATCTCTCACACACACACCTATATTTGGCCACTAAGACAAAATCATGTAGACTTCGAAAAATCAATTAATTGTAATTTCTGGCCTTACTACCGTAAAGGATTCATTTGATCAGCTACCTATGCAAGGTTTATAAATAACAAAGAAAAATAAATTACATAGATGAAATAGCAACCTGAACCATAACAGAAGCAAAATCCAAATCTGATTCTCCTTCCAATATTGTAGAAAGTTCACGGTAGACCCGTTCAGCATTTAAAAGTACACATAGTCGGCGTATTATCAATGCACCACGCCTAAGAAAATGGTAAACATATACTTCGTAAATCATAAAATTAAATATAAGCATATGAATTTCCGTGTGCAGCAACAAATAAGCAGAGGGGAGGGAAAAGAAACCCACTTCTCCAGAAGAGAATTATTGATCCTAAAATTATGAACTAGGAAGACAACAAGTTGGCGAAAATGTTGCTGATCTTTCGCTATGCAAGCATGAACCTCGAGAACAAGGAGCACCACCTATGACAGCATCCAATATAAGACCGTAAGTTAACTAGCAGAAGCAGGGGATGAAAATAAACAGCAATATTAAAATTAGAAAACCCATAAGACAGACCTTACCTATTTTTTTTTTTATATATAAGAAACAATTTCATTGATGTACGAAATAATGAAAGAAGAGGAATGAGAGATCCCCAATCCAAAGGGGTTACAATAAACATCTCCAATTGGACAAATGATAGGAAATAGAATAGTAGGAGAAGAGCGAATTCAATTTACACCAAGAAAAGGCATGATAAAGGACATTATCTTAGGCATCAAATTCTTCATCAACCTTAATCTTTCATGGTAACCATCGTTCAAAATCTTTTCACGTAACAACAATTAGAATTGAGAACAAAGCTTGAAAAAAAGACATTAAAAGTTCCCCATGAACATAATGGGTTCATTTTCTTCTTTAAAAGTAAAGATATTAAAAACATGGGGAAAATGACAAACAATATAAAAACAAATCCTTGAGTTTTGAGCTTAGCTTCCATTGGTCTCTAGGTTACAAAACGATACAACTTCATCCCTGAGCTTTGGGTTTAGTTTCTATTTAATCCCTAGGTTTCAAAATGATACACTTTTACCCTTGAGTTCAGATTTAAGTTTTAATTTGGTCCCTCGGTTTCATAAAAATGTTACGTTACACTTTTTCCACCAAGTTTCCACTAATGCTCACTTTTTAGCCTTTCACGTTAACTTTCCTTTAGTTATCTTAAAGGCCTTTCTAATTAATTTAATAGTGACGTAAAGAAACAATTACTTTTAAAGTAATATTTTGAGCTGTGTAGATTTCTTTAAAAAAAAGTTATTTCTCCCTCTCTCTAACCTTCTTCCACCTCCCCCTATCAGCACCGCCCCTTCACTTTGTCGATCCTCCATCACTTTTACCTTCACCAACACTAGAAAGAGTCCAATTTGGAAAATTTTACAAGCCCACTCAAAGGTAGAAAGGGAAAGGGAAGGGTGGCGGCAGAGGATCAACTATAGGAAAAGGTGGTGGCAGCAGGGGGGGGGG